GGTGGGGGCCCGCTTCCCACCTGTTCCCTCACCCCAGTGCCAGCTCTGCAGCCCCGTGCTGACTGGGCACCTCGTGCCCTCCCCCTCATCTCACCAATCCTCCCGGCATGCATGAACCCAGCTCCCCGTTTGTTGCTCTGTGATGTTGGCATGAAACACACAGATGCCACCACAGCAAGCATCGACCTACATCTGTGGGTTGAGCCAGCTCAGAGGGGCCGAGCCCTGACTCCTCATGATCTTCCCAGATTAGACGCAGGCTTAGCGGCTGCCACCGAAACAGCCCCTCCTCTGGCTCTGCGAGGTGGACAGAGCTGAGGCCACGGCACGGGCAGCTTTTATTTTTGATCAGAGATGTGTCATGGCCAGAGGTGAAGCACTTGAAGTGCACAAAGAGAACAGGGTGGTAGCTATTTATTTAGGACCCCTGTGGAAGGGACACAGCTTCCTTCACAGCCTCCAGAAACGCTACATGGAGGCCTCAGAGGCCTTCTGTTCTTACAAGGGGGAAGCTGGGGTCCGGAGGAGCCAGTGACACATGTTGAGATCACACTGGGTCAGCAGCAAGGGGACTGCATGGAGTCCAGGAGACTTGCTGGAGTTGAGGAGGAGCCGGAAGAAGGAAAGTTGGTGAAGACCTTCAGGAGACACCAGGACATAGTTCTGAGGGGGACAGCCGGCTTAGATTTGGCCAAAAATTGTGCACAGCTAGATTCAAATGCTGAGATGTTGTCTCCCAACCCAGCCACCTACCTCCTGGAAAGGGAGGCCAAGCTAAGAAAGGCAACACTGTGTTTTCAGGCTTGAGGGAGGAGCCGCCCTTAGCTTCTGCTCGGCGCAGGGCCTGGAGAGGATGGTGGCATCACTTGGGCACCCATTGTGTGGCAAGCATCTTTGTTGGCACCTGAATGAGTCCTTTCAATAGTAACTGGACCCAAAGCCACGTGAGCACCTGTAATCTCAGGGAGCTGAGGCAGGAGGATTGCCTTGGGTTTGAGGCCAGGCTGGACTACATAGAGAGATCTGTCTTTGCAAAACCAAACCGAACTGGGGCTGGGGATATAGCTCAGTCGCACAGTGCCTGCCTGGAAAGTGCAAGGTCCTGAGTGTGATTCCTGGCACCCCCCCCCACCATTATCAAAACCTAACCAAACCCAAAAACCAAAACCAAATAAAAAGAAAGAAAAATATAATATACCCCAGAGCAAAGTGTCTAATCTTAGAGGGAAGGAAAGGTAGTCACAGAAGGCTTCCTGGAGGAGAGGTGCCTAGGATATGTCCTGAAAGACAAGAGAGAATTAAGTGGACCGAAAATGGGGCCGGTGCTGTGAGCCCAAGAAACAAAGCCAGGTGGACCGTGTAGGGCGATGACTGTTTTACACTGTGAGAACACAAACCTCAGCGTGCGGGATGAGAACGAGGACCTGGGAAGGCCTGGGGACAGGGCCCGCAGAGGGACAGTGGGGACAGCAGGCCCAGGGGACAGTGGCCTGCCGCCCTTGGCTAAGTGGTTTTGTCCTACAGGTTTCCAAGCAGGAGTGTGGCTTGTTTGGATTTGTGTTCTCCACGGCGACCCTGGCAGGCAGATGACTCAGAATGAGCAAGAGGAGGCAGGGAGGATGCGGCCCGGCGATGGGGCTGGAGCTGAGGATGCAGCTGGGAAACCTGGTGGGGTCCAGTTGTCTGGCCGGTGACGGTGATTGATCGGCTGTGCGCGACAAGGCGCGGCCAGGCTGGCTCATCCTAGCTGAGCTATGGTAGGGACTCCAGGCTGGTCCTGGGGTGAGACAGGCTGAGCAGGGGCTGGTGAGGCTTAAGGGGGCCCCCAGAGTCCCAGAGAGAGTGGGAAGCCCGGGGTGTGGCCAGTGAGGCCCTCGCTGGACCTGCACTTTTGGAAAGCACAAGCGCCAGGCAGTGGAGGGACTTCAGGGGAGGGAGGTAGCCCTGCAACAGTCAGTGCCAGGGAAGAGGGATAGAACTCTGTGAACTCTGACCTTTAGGGGGTGGGTGGAGGAAGAGGGGCCTCCAGCCCCCGGGGGAGATTAGGAGTGAACAGAGAGGTGGGAGCAGGGAGCAATGGTGGCATCATGCCGCCAGGGAGGAAGTGGCTGCACGAGCAAGAGTGTGATGGCTGTGCTGACTGAGGGGTACAGGGGCTTAGGACTGAGGGGGCCTCCCAAAGGCAGCGAGGGCTGTGGGTGGAAGCGAAGCCCCACTTCCAGTAGAAGTAGGAAGTCACTGCAGAGAACGTAGGAAGGCCTGAGAGGGAGGAGAGGTGTGTGGAGGTTCTAGCACACCACGGCAGCCTCGTGAGGCAAAAGGGAGGGCTTCCTTAGCGCTGGCTCTGGACAAGGGCAATGCGGGTGTGCAAGGATGGGTCTGGAGAATGCAGGAAGTAAGGCACTCTGAGGCCTCCATGGCCCCATGGAGTCAGGTGTCTGGCGGCATGGAAGGGGCAGGGGGGATGCAGTCACGAGGAGGAGGGGGAAGGGCAGCGGGGCCGAGGAAACGAGAGGCTGGCCACGGTGGGCCAGAGGGCTGTGGGGTCCAGCATGAGGGTCCAGCTGGATCTTACACATGCCAGCCCCAGCTTGTGGAAGGAGACTGTGGTTGGCTGGGTGCAGGGTGGAGCTGAGTGGGACGGCTAAGGAGCCTGGTGCTGGCGAGAGGGTCCCACTCAGATGACCAAACTATGGGGGCAGTTGGAGAAGGTGGTCAGAGGCAGGAAAAAACTTTGGGGCTAAAATGAAAGAAGAGAAGCTGTTCTGAGCAATGACCCAGCCCCTGGCGGCCCATGGGGTGGGCTGGGCTGCAGTAGGGGAGGTCCCTGGAGAAGGAGCCCAGAGGTCCGGTCTGGGGTGGGTCCTCACCGGGAGGCTAGCAGGTGAAGGAAGGCCTTGGAGGAGGGGTGGGGACATAGGGAGGAGAGGCTGGTGGTCCAGGTGAGGGGCAGAGAGCGTCGGAGGGGTCGGAGAGGCAGAAGGAGGGAGAAGGCTGTAGCATCTGGTGGCATGAGCCCCCAAGGAGGAAAAACCCTGATTTTGTGGGCTGGTGAGTGATGGTGTGGAAAGTTGCCCTGTCTGGCGGTAGAAAAGGAATAGGAGGACCTGGGTCCACTAAGGAAGTGCCACACAGGGACAGGAGCAGTCTCCCCACAGGGCAGAGGGCATGGGGACTATGGGCGCTGAGGAGAGAGGGGATGTTCTCAAAGGAAGCGGATTCTGGACAGCAAGCCCGGAGCTGTCAGCCGCACAGAGCGAGGGGCAGGGGACAGGGGTCCCTGGGGTAAGAAGCTGGAGGATGGAGACACGTGTCCTTGACAAGTAAAGATTCCGGGGCTCAGCAAGAGGGAGCAGAGCCCTTCACCCATCCCATGCTCCTGGAGGGGCGCTGTGCTGCAGGGACAGGATTTTGTGCTTGGAATACAACGCTGAGCAAAGCGACAGTCCTTATTCTCCTGAAGGTCTAGGCTGGCTGGTGACCTGTGGGGATAGAAGACAGCAAATATGATGAGAGAGGCCCCCGAGAGTATGTTAGAGAGCACCGGCTGTGGAAAGGGAAAGTGTCCGTGTTGGAGGATCCCTGGGGACCTGGGGCGGGCTGGGACTCAAGGGGGTGGGGGGCGATCCGGTGGGACACAGTTTGGCCAAGGCTCTGATTGCAAAATCTTACCTGGTGGGCTGGGAGCTGGGGCTGAGGCGGGGACAGGTGGCGTTTGGTGGGTGGTATTTGGGAGAGGGTTGACACCAAAGTATCTTGCAGGATGGGGAAGAAATGGGAGGAAAAGGAAGAAGAAGCTCCATTTCCAGAGCACCTGTCCAGGGCTGCTCCGGGCGGGGACACCTCATCCATCAGCCTCTCCTCGCCCAGGATGAGTGCTGTGGGGTAGGAGGGAGCTGCCCTTATTTGCCCTATTAGGGACAAAAAAACAATGGCCATACCCACCAAGCCAGCACCGAGTGCTGTGCTGCCCACCGCCCACTTTGTGCATGTGTGTGTATGTGTGTGGTACCGGAGCTTGGACCAAGGCCTTCATACCGAGCTACACCCCCAGCCTTTTTTTTTTTTTAACTTTTGTTTTGAGACAAGGTCTCACTAAGTCCCTAAGTTGCCCAGGCTGGGCTCTAATTTGAAATTCTCCTGGCTCAGCCTCCGAGTGCAGGGATCACAGGCACCCTCCCACCACCACCTATCTACGCCCCCATCTTCTTAATGTACCCTCTGAGCCCCTGGTGAGGTCGGTGTCACACTATCCATTTCCTGATATCAGGTCTGAGGCTTCAGAGTGTCTGCACAGGGGCTGGCATCACGGATTCCAGAGCCGGCTTGCTTGGTGACTTCAGGCAACTCAACCTTTCTGGGCTCAGCTGCCTTTGCCAGAAATGAGGGTATTAAAAGCACCTGCCATACTGGGTCCTCCTGAGGGGTCAGTGATGTAAAATACGTAGGGCACCCCAAGAGGCCCCAGCACGTAGTGGGAATAGACAAGTGTGCTCTGTCACTATTGTTACTGTCCGAGGTCACTTAGGTGGGTGTGGGGATGGGAGCTGCCGTGGGGCTGACCCCTGCTTCACCCGTGCGGATGTTCTGCCCGCTGTTGTTCTGGATGTGCTGACCCAGCCTGGAGGAAGGAGCCGCAGGTCCCCCCACCCCCGGCCCGTTCCTTCGCTGCAGGCATGTGACATATTGTGGCGTGATGTGTTCTTCCCTCCTGGTGCAAGACGTGACTCAGAGGGCCATGCTGGGGAAATGCGTTTCTTGATTTGCCCACCTCGTCGCCCCTGCATTCTTTTGAATCTCTCTGAATCAGACTTTATATCTGGCTCTGCCATTCACCCGCTTTATTTATGCAGAAAACGGCCCCACATTTCCAACTTGCTCAACAGCCGGAAAAATTCATCTTTGGCCCGGGGAGGGGAAAAAAAAGAGGGTTGGGGGTGGGGAGAGAGAAAAAGGAAGGCGGAAAGAAAGAGCCAGCAACAATCAAAACAACCTTTTTCTCCCTGTGTAATCTGGGCAGCTTCCCGGAGGATAATGTCTTTCCACCGTGCATCGCCCCTCCCTCCCAGGCTGTTTTCACAGGAAGCAAATCCTGGAGCATTTTCAATGCGCCCCTCGAGGCGGAACAATGAGGCCCTTGAACGCTCAGAACCGCACTTCCTCCAGTTATCCGGACCTGCGCCCAGCGCCTCCTGCAGAAGGAGGGGACCCAGGGGCAAGCCGGAGGGAACCCGGGGGCAGCCAGAGAGGGGCCGGCCTGCGGGTGCTGCCCAGCTGCATGAGGGAAGCCCACTAGCCCAATAATAGGTTTGGATCTGACTGTTTTGCCAAGGTACCCGGCATTTACCCCGCTCCCTGATTGGGGGTGGGGAGTTGGGAGGAGGCAGCCGGGATCCAATTACGGCGGCCCCAACCCGGTCGCGGGGAGGTGGCGACGGGCTGGGCGAGACAGGAGGCGAGGATCGGAGTGCAGACCCTCAGCTGGGCGCCCTGGGGTGCCCGGCCTGGGCTGGCCAGCGCAGCTCCACCCGCCTCATTGTCTATTGTGGATGGGCCTCTCCCCCTCTGTCCCCTCCCCGAACCGCCCGCCTCTTTCCTCCCTCCTCCCGACAGAAAGAAGAGCCAGTCTGTGGAGGCGAATGAGTCATGAATAAACAAACAGCGTGGGGGGAGCTGTCACTCTGAGCTGACTTCCTGGCTGCCAGCGGTGGCGCTGTCACCTCCTGGCTGGGCCCAGGAGCCAGGCCGGCTGTGGCGGCACCAGGAGCCCTGCGATCGCTGTGTGCCCCCACAGAGGGTGGGGGCACAGGACCCTGATCCCCATGCCTGTCTTTGACTTTCGCGCTCATAAAAGCATTCCGGTCTTTAGAGTAGGGGAGCCAATGTGACATGATGTCCCTGTGTGTACAGAAAGCTCAGGGTTGTGAGCCAGTTCCCTTGGGGCTGACAAAAGCCAGGCAGGGTAGAAGGGCAATGCCATCAGCGTGTCTGTTACGGGGTGCTTTGCCCCGGTGGAGTTCATCCTCTGGGAGTAGAGGTTTGTTTCTGTGGCCTGTGTGCTGTGTGCATGGATGTGTCTGATGTGTCGGATGTTCCAAAATGTGTGTCATGCCTGGGTGATGTGTGTGTGTGTGTGTGTGTGTGTGTGTGTGTGTGTGTGTGTTGCATGACCACTTTCTTGACTCTGCATAAGCTTCTGCCACTTTAAGGCTTGAGACTTGCTTGTGTCTGCTGCTTCTCTGCTTGGTCCTTTCTCTTCTCCCTTTTGTGAACCTGTGGGTTATTTGGGGCCATCTCTCCCCATTAGTGAGGCTCCAGGGCCCCAGCAGACCTCCAGGGCCTGGCCTGGCTGGCCCCAGCGCCCCGCCGGCTGTGGCCACACACAGGCTGCCTGTGCTGCTGACTAATGCTGCCCGGAGCAGAGCAAGCCCATGAGGGGAGGGACTGTGGCTGAGCCGTGGGAGCCTTGCTGAGCCCCTGTGGCTGGGCAGGGCCCGGGCCAGTCCAGATGTCCTGGGGGGTTGTGACCACACCAGGTCAGAGGCAAGGGCAGGAGGAAGTCACTTCCTTCAGCTTCCCTGGCAACCGCACATCTTCACCTGGGTCACCCCAAGGCCAGGGCTGGTGGCTGGGCCTTCAGGGGGAAGGTTGTTGAGACCAAAGCCGCGCTGTGGCTCAGACAGTGTGGCCCCAGGCCCTGCTGCTTGGCCGGGTCCAGAACCTGCCAACACGGGCCCTGCTCCCTCTCCAAGTCCAGGTTCCTGGGTGAAGATGGGCATGCAGGGATAGAGCCCCCGGTGGCCGTAGCAGGGCACCAGCTTGCTGTCCTCCCTGTCCTCTCTCCTGCAACACCACTGACAGGGCTGACTTGCGCCATTATTGCAGGTTTAGTTGTGCCCTGATCAGCGAGGAACCTCTGGGGTGGCAGCACACCTGGTCCTTCTGCACACTCTTCCCCACCCTTCAGCTGACAGGTGGCTTGGACGTTGAGGATCAGCATAGGCCAGGAGGCAGGTGAATGTGGCTTCACTGCCCAGCTCCTTCCTTTGCTAGCTCTGTGACCTAGGGCAAGTCACTTGACCTCTCTGAATCCTTCTTTCCTCTTCTGTAAAATGTGCATACTGAGCCAGGCGTAGTGGCACAAGCCCTGTAATCCCAGCACACTGGAGATTAAGGCAGGAGGACTGTAAGTGCAAGGCCAGCCTGAGTAGCACAGCCACTTAGTGAGACACTGTCTCAAAAGGTAAAAACATAGCTCAGTATAAAGACCCTGGTTTCAATACCTAAGAGTAAAAAAAAAAAAATCTATACTGATCTTCAGGTCCCTACCCCTTGGAGCTGTTGCACAACTTAGACAATGCCTTTGAGCCCAAACACCAACCCTGGCTTCAACAGGGCCACTCTCTGTCAGTGCCCAGCCATGTCCTGGAGTTTGCAGCCCATCTGCTTTGTCCTCTGGCCCAGGGCAGTGCTGGGACTTGTGGCGCTCGGCTGGAAGTAAGGGCGCAGCAGTCCCACAGCAGGTGGGGTCTCTGAGACAGGGAATGTGGGAAGCTGGCCCGGCTGGCCTCAGAGTCGAGCTGGTCCCCAAGGGACACCTGGGAGCCTGGCACACTTCCAGGGCTTTCCTTGTGGGAGAGGGCACTATGCTCAGGTCAGGCTTTGGCTGTACATGGGCGGGTTTGAACCTGTAGTCATTTTTTTCTTGGGTTTCCATGGGATTAAAATGCCAGCAATCCTCAGGAATAAAGGCATTTCATGCAAAAGTGTGGGGCGGCAAACCCCCTGGAATAGTTGAGGGGTTTGGCCACCCTGGAACATGTTTCTGTGTGGAAACTCCGGGCTGGGGTGGAGCCCCAGGGCCTTGTGGGGCAGGACAGGGCTTACCAGTTGCCGTAGTCACCACAACTCCCTATCGCACTGCTGCTTTCAAACCTGAGGTGCGGAAGAATCTGCTTTAGGCTCACATCAACAGAGCGGGCCGGGGTTGTGCAGTTTTTGTTTCTGCAAATTTGCCAGAGGATTTCTAACAAACTTCTGGTGATGCCCATGCTAGTGGCCCAGGGACCTGCTTTGAGAACCACTAGACTGCCTGAGGCTGAGCCTGGTAGGTCATCACATCTGGCCTGTTGCTTGTTTGTGGAGTAGGGAAATAATTCTCTGTACCTGCAACTCTAGAAACAGTAGAAAAATTAAGCTGGGCATGATGGCACACACCTGTGATCCAGGCACTTGGGAGGCTGAGGCAGGAGGATCACTGTGAGTTCAAGGCCAGCCTGGAATACATAGTGAGACATTATTCGAAATGACCAAAAAAAGAGAAAAATTTAAAAGGACAGAGACTCATTTGTTCCAGTAGAATGGAGAAGTGTGTCTTTTTTTGGAGATGGATGGGATATTCTGTTGTGCTCACATGCATGCAATTTGAGTATTTGTCAGATAAACACAATTTAAGGTGCCACTATGAGATCTCAGTGAGGAATGTGAGGTTGGCCACCTGTGCCACTGAGCTGGGTTTTTATACCGTGTGCCTCCCTCATTTACTTTGTCTATGTGACCCTGCAGGGCTTTGAGTTTGTGACCTCTGCCTGCCACAGTGAATCCACGAATTGAACAGCTGGGGTTTGTGTTAGGATCTGGAGTTGCAATGTGAAACAGACCTAGTCTACCCTTGCGGGGTCACAGACCGTGGGGACAGGCAGACACAAGGAACTGAACTCATATATGTGAAAAGGAGTTATAATTGCTGCACCAGTCGGGATACTGAGATGAAGAGTAATGGGGTGCAGGGGGTATCCTTAATTCTGTATGGTCAGGGAAACTTCTCTGAGGTCCCCATCCTCTGGGGGAGAGGCAGGGGACAAGTAGGATTCTGGCCCAGCTGAGCTTGAATCTCCACCCTAAAAGGTGGGTGTAGATGGAAATCAGGACGTTTGGGCTCTGATTCGGGCTCCGGTAGCCCCCCTCAGGGTGCCCACCTCTGTGGATTTCACCCTCTTCAAGCCCCACCCAGTGTTCACCAAACCTTGTGACTGTCTTGACTTTGACTTGCGCTGTGCTCTCACTGTGTCCTCCGGCCCTCAGCTGCTCCCCACTCTCTGGGGCACAGCCACAGGGCACTTGGGGTGTCAGAGCTGTGTGGAGCCCTGTGTGTGGTTCAGGGGCCACACTCACAAGCTACCTCATCTCTGGACCTGAGCCTGCAGGACTGTTGCTGCTATAACCATATTCAGAGGTGGAGATGGGTCCATTGCTCTCCTGACCTCACTTCTGCATGGGTCTTCCACAGTGGGGGCCAGAAAGCAGAACTTTCCTTCCTCTGTACTCGCGTCCCTGAGGGTACCAGGCTGAGCACAGATGGGGCATGGGACAGGGCACACTTTCCATATTACAGGCCCCAGAGCACCTTGCCTCATGAAGGCAAGTCGGGGGCATATCCTTCCCCTGTTGTCACCATCAGTCATGACACTTCCCCGTTGAGCTCACGTGTGATATCAGAAGCCATCTCAACCCTGTCACCTGAGAAGCTGATGCCGAAGAACTGGAGTGGACTTGTGGGATTAAATCTACCAGCCATTCTTGTTGAACAGGAGTTCAGGTACCGTGTGGGGCTCATTTGGGCTTCTGCATAAGCAAAGCTTGGGATGTGGACCTAGGTGGGCTTTCAGGCATAGAGGTAGAAGCTGTCCCAGTCTAAAGAGAGCTGGAAGTGGACGGGCAGTGGGCAGGTGTCCCTGAGGGAGGCGCCATGGGCTGGGAGGCCGTGGGACAGAAGTATGGGCCAAGGCAGAGGTGGGTTCCTGGGAGGTAGGTCGTACTAGGGATCCCCTGAGGGTTGGTGGGACATCTGAGACTTACCCTGTCATACCACCCCCCAGCCTGAAGTGTCACCCTCCCCAAAGACCAGAACATCCCCAAGCAGAGGCAGCTGGGACACTTTGGAGGGTACCTCTGTAGGCCGAATGAGCTTTTATGGAAACTGCATCCATGTCTTTGCCTGAGCTGTGGTCCTTACAGGCATGCACAGGGACACTGACAGTTGTCAAAGCCCCTGGTGTGGTCAGGGTTTCCCAGGAGCTGTGTGGAGGTCTTGGGGCCTGCTGTGCCTGGAGGCCTGGGCCACCGGGTGGAAGTCAGCCGGAAGGAGGGGCTTCCTGCCTTCCTTTGCCAGGTGTCATGGTCCCAGTTCTCAGCTCTATGAGTGGCTGGGGGTGACGGCACCTTTGCTGGCCGTGACCCTGTGAGGGTGGCCCGAGCCATGTGGTCTGCCTGTTCCCACCTCATCCCAGGCCCTGACACTGAAAAGAGGGATGTGACTGACAGAATGAGTGTTGCTGCTGTCCATGCCACCTGTCAGGCTTTCCTGCTTGCTGGACACCTGTCATCTCTGCGACACTCAGAGTTGCCTGAAGGCCTGGTTTGGCCAGGTCTCCGTGGCTGGATTTAGAGGGTGGAAATACATAGAGAAGGGCAGCCGTGTCTTCTTATTGTACCATCTGGGCTCTGCCCAAGTCTGGGGTGGGGCACTCCGGGCCAGGGGCAGCTGTGGAACTGAGCCCCGCTGGTCCCAGAGAATTTAGAACACACTGGCCACCAAGCACAAATAGCCATTCCTCAAATGCCATGGCCATGCCCATGCCCCAGCCACACCGTGTAGGGTTGACCACATCCATGGCCATGTCTTGTCTATCCTTCTCCAAGTTGGAGTTCCTGTCCCTGCTCCCTTAGAGACTGTTCCAAGTCCCCTTGGTTCTTAGGGTTCAACTGCACAGCCTCATCCTTTAGAGGCGCTGCCTGGAGTAGGTGCCTGTTTTTCTGTGTTCCCTGTGCTGTCTGGCTGCTGTCTCTCAGGATCCACAGAATGCACG